GAAGAAGAAGAAGAAGAAGAACAACAACAACAACAACAACAACAACAACAACAACGACAACAACAACAACAACAGCAACAACAGCAACAGCAACAGCATTCTGGACACGGTAAATAAGCTTGGATACAAAGGAAGGCGTAAGATCTTAAGAGTGTGTCTTAGTAGTCATTTCATAGGTGTGTCAGGGATAATTTTACATGGTAATAAATTTCTGAATTTTTAATTTTACCCTGGTGGTGCCCTGACTTTTCCACCTAAGCAGCATGTCGAAGAGAAAAAAGAAAGTCACACAGCATCATCACTCACTCATCATCTCTATCATGTCTTTCGTGGCTGCCATGATGATCATCACAGTCGTAGATCTGTCCCTTCTCGTGCGGGTTACAGCATTGTCGGAAGGTAACATGACCACAGCAGCCACTTTCACAGATGATCGCCTCGTGGACGGGGCCAACTAGCAGCAACATGGAATCAATTTCCTCTTTTGAAGTTCCACACAGCCTACGATGGCCGCTGCAAGTGTGAAAAGAAAAACGACTCAAGGTTCTAGTTTCGCTACTTCAGAATTACAAAGATCTGTCTCATATTTTTGGCCGTTTTGAGCAAGTAAGACCATGACGTCAGAGAGCTAATGCTCTATCTGCTCTATCAGAATTGTAAGAATATTTGGAGTGGTTATCAAGATACTCAAAGAAAGGCTTGCCATGTTGCGAAACTAAAAATTTTTAACGTTAAATTTCTCAAAACTAGGTACTGAACAGATAGAACTTTGTAATTCTGAGGTAGCAAAGTATAGATAACGGATGGTAGGCTGGAGCTCTGGTGTGGTTTGTTCCTTCTTTCCTGTCAAACATAACGCTGTCCTTATCTCTCCTCTCCCGTCGGTGACTTAGTTGTTAAGCTCTCAGTAAGTAAGTAAGTAAGTTTATTTATTTGTGAGGCATGCTGACAAAATGAGTTATTTCTCGCAATCCACAAATGGAGATATTGGGTTAATAATCGACACTTGGGTTACATTTGCAAATTTTCTATTGATGCCATAATCTTTAAGAACATCATGTTTTTATTATTTCATACTTATAAATTGTAAAAACTTCACCTATAAGCGTGATGTAGCGATTTCCATTGGGCTCGAATCTGAGAAGTAACTCATTTTGTCAGCACCCTTCACATTTATTTAGTGTTTAGGGCCATTGGCCCACATCACATCTGCATATAAAATATTCTTTTGTTAAATAAAGTTTCCATAATGAAAAAGTACAGGTTGTGCACATATCTCTTATCATTAATCAAACAGTGCATATTTAT